TTGCTGCTCGTGCTGGTCTCAGCAGCAGTTCGCTATTGTTGCAACTGCAGCAGTGTTCGCTGCAGTACAGCTAGATCTGGATAAACATGGAGACAGTTGCATACTCAGACGGCAAGGAGCATACCCGGTATGCTGAAGCGAAGCTGGATGACGGAAGTTTCTATAGGAAAAGAACCTGCTTCGTGAAACCCAGAAGGGCGACTTGCAGGCAGCAACTTGCACACAGCAACTTGCGCCAGGCAACTCGCACAGAGCAGCTTGCACAGAGCAACTTGCACAGGGTAACTTGCACAGGGCAACTGGCAGAGGGCAACTTCTAAAAAGCACCTTGCACAGAGCAACTTGCGCAGAGCTTGCAACTTTCGTGCACTTCGAGCACTACTTCTGCACTCAAAAGCTGCGGCTTTCCAGCCAGAGCTCCCGGATTGTATTTGAGTACTACTTTCGCACTTTAAAGTTGCAATCGAGCCGGGGCTGCGAGAGCGCACGTCGAGTGCTACGCTTGTATCTTCCAACGAGCGTCATTTTCTGCTCAAGCTGCTCTTTGATACGCTTTTTAATCGCGCTTGCGAGCGTTTTTGGGCAAACGAGCGCTATTTAGTCTTCGAGCGTCACATCAGCCAACTGGAAGACTGCTTCGCAAAGGAGTTGAGGCTCCTTTGGGGCGTCAGTCTTTTTTAACAGAGTAGCAGCTTCCCGGGAGGAAACGGGAACGCCGCGAAACGAGCGCAGATCCCCGCCACAAAAGCGCAATTTCCCGCCACGCGAGCGCACATGACAAAGTGCTAGATTTCACGTTCGGCGCCGCTGCAAATCTTGCACATGAATAGCAGAAAGACCGAGCCCACACTGTGGACAGTTTCTTTTCGATATCCCTATCCGCGCGTTTGTGGAACCGAGCGCTGAGCGCTTTTTGGATAAACGCACGGTACTCTGCACAAGGGGAAAAACGCTCATCGGAAGATTCAGGGTGATAAGAAAGCCGTGCGACGCCACAGCGAGAGCGCTTCGACACGCACGATCGCCGCAGAGAGTTCATCCGGCACTCACTGCGCCGCAGCGAGAGTGCTTCGATACGCGCGATCCCCACACAGGGTTCATCGGGCGAAGCACGCTGAGGCAGGTTGCGCGACCGTGCCAGCGGGGCCTTTTCCGAACCCGTGGCCAGACCGCGGCGAACCCGCACGCTAAACAGAGATAGCCTTTGCGGCCTGGTCAGCCTGAAGCGCGTTGCGCCTGTCACGCAACTCCTCGTCTCTCTCGCTTTCTTTGTCAGGCACTGGCCATTGCCAAGAAGCTGACCTGGCATCTCCACACTGCGTGTTGATGTGTGGGACATGCAGTCAAGAGGTCACGCGTCCCAAGGCCAAGTGACGGGAGATACCACGCGGCATGGATGGCCGAAGTGGCCACCACTGCTTTGACAGTATCAAAAATGATTGTGACGCGAGAGGTGCTCGGTCCGCAGAGCGCTCGCACCCAGGGAGTGGGGTCGGGGCCGCGCACGTGCGAAGGCGAGGGGAAGCGTGTTGTTTCTTCTTGTTTTTCTTTTTTAGTGTTTGTTTTTTGTTTTTCTGTTTGTTTGTTTGTTTGATTGATTGTTTGTTTGTTTGTTTGTTTGTTTGTTTGTGTGTGTGTGTGTGTGTTTTTGTTTAGTTGGTTGCACGGTTGTTGATTGGTTGATTGAATGATTGCTTGGTTGGTTGATTGACTGATTGATTGACTGATTGATTGATTGATTGATTGATTGATTGATTGATTGATTGATTGATTGATTGATTGATTGATTGATTGATTGATTGAGTGCTTGATTGAATGATTGTTTGTTTGTTTGGTTTGTTTGTTTGGTTGGTTGGTTGGTTGTTTTGTTTGGTTGGTTGCTTGTTTGTTTGGTTGCTTGTATGTTTGTTTGTTTGCTTTGTTGTTTGATCGTTTCTGAGTTTATTTCTTTGTTTGACATGGGAGTATTGACCTGAACGTTGCACACAACAACAAAAACTGCTTCGCGCAGGCGGGAATGTGCTTCACCGATTTCCTGCCATCCTCCGATGCAGCGCGGGCCTGCAGTTTTTTGCGGCAATTCCAGTCAACAGGCTCGGAATCCAGCCCTGACTGCTCGCTGATGCAATCCTTTACCCATGCTTTTCACACTCGGCTGGTGGACAGCTGTTCCACCAAGCTCAACACGGAGGTGTTGCAAGTCATGTACACCAAGCTTGGTGGTGAAACCTGTCACCTAGCCCCTCGGACTGAGATTCACATGCCTTTTGTTGGTCAGTTTGGTTGAGCAGAGCTCGGGCTTCCGAGGGGACAGGCCACGTGTCTTTGTTTGCTCTGAACCTGCTGATCCTTTATGGTGCACAAACAGCGGTTGCGATCGGTTACTGGTGTATCTGTCAGATTCCTGCCATGACGCATTCCACTCCCAGGTTGGTCTTCGTGACTATACAGACACCAAGCCCTTCGCTTCGACGCCTACGCACATGTTAGAGGTACCAGAGATGGACTCCACAGAGTCTAGCGCCCTATCAGTGCAAACATCCCATTCCAATACGCTCGACCTGGAGTCCTTTGATGAGTTGCCCACAAAGAGGCAGCGTTTCTGGAGCGTTGACTCCAGCCCAAGCAGCGATGAAGCTGATACCCAGCAGATGAGGGTCTTTGTGGATATCGATTTCGAAGCCATGACTGTGAATAGCGCGACCGCCCAGGTGGCATTTTTGGCCGGCAAAGCCGTGAGCAGCTTTTTTCCCAACCCCTATGTCACCCAGTTCCTGGAGCAGATTTTCAAGGACAGCAAGATGAGACTGGAGAGAGGCGACCCTTTGCCCAGCAAGGTCTTCGTCTTTGATGATCTGCCAGTTTGCTGGGACAGTAAAGAGGACCGCATCTCCGGAAACTTGCGCATCACGCAGACCAGGAACGGCCACGTCAACGGGCTGATGTCCTTTCAAGATCCTCAGGTGCTGTTGGGCAAGATTTCTTTGAACCACCAAGCCCTGGGTCCCATTTAAACGGAAGCCAAACCATAGTGGTCCAAGCCTGTTTCGACCGGCAACACCCCCAACCGCCCAACCACCCTGCCAGGTGCCGTCTCGGAAGGAACGGCGGAAGAGGGGTTCGGGCTCAAGCCTCCCGGCTCGGACCCTGAGAAGGTCCAGAACCTCTCTGTGAGAAGTTGGAATTCGATAGGCAAATTCATCGCATGGTGCGATAGGGGAATGTGATGTGGGAATAAAGCCGTTTTTTGGGGGCCAGTTGGATGGGGCTGAAAAAGGGGTCGTTGCATGTCTCATTCCCTGCCTATCGCACCTGCAAGTTGCGGCGTGATGGAATGTTCAAGGGACACGTTCATTTGAATCATTTTGAATCATTGCTAGCACCCTGAAACATGAACACCGCCAAATGATGTCCACCAAAGGTCCCATTCATATTCATAGGGTTCGCCTGATTGTTGCGACCGCCCAGCCTTAAAGCTCGAGCACAATTCGGCACTGAAAAGCTTGGATTCAATTGCTTTTGGGCTTTGGAGGGTAAAGCCTCCAGATGTTAGTGGCCACAGATCATAGCCATGGCACCCGTCTCACCAACAGCTGAAGGCTTTTGGCCCGCTGTTTTTCCCCAGCACCAATCCTTGAGATGCGCTGGACCCTGAATTCCGAACTGAGCCTGCGGGGTTCATTATACCAACATGGTCCAAGACAAGGCCAACATGTTGTTTGTTTTGGTTTCCTTCGGTTTCAGTTTTGCCTTAACAAACCCAAGAAAACAACGACGACACAAACACAGCCACATCTTGCCATCTTTGCTGATTGGCCAGTTTCCCCCGATGGAACCCCAGCCTGTTCGACGATGCATGAGCTCGGCTTCGAGCTAGCTACAATCCCGGACATAGTGCATGAGACCTTTGGACCAAACCTTTACAGGGGCTTTGTGAAAGGAGCCCAAAGGAGATGACCCTTCGCACAGGTCCAGCACTTGTGTGCTCGCTTGCACGCCACGGCAGCGCATGCGGGTGCGTGCACATGCAGCTTCATGTGAATGATGTAACCGCCACCAGAGGCTCTCCAGCAACCTCATGGCAAATGCCATGCAGGCGTCCTAGGAGGAAAAACGAGGACGTTGCCTGCAGCTGACATGTGGAGAACATTGCTCAACATCACCCAACAGTACGGTGCCGGCTTACCTTGCAAGCCTTTATCAAAAAGTGAGCGACATGAGGGCAAGTAACACACACACACACACACGTAGTTTATTGTAGAACATGCCGATTACTGAAGCACTTATCAGTCATCAGAGTTCGCTTTAGTCATTCGTTGCCGGATAGGCGTTGCACGGTGCGCATCAAAGGCTGAATGTATGGGCGCAGAATATGCTCGGCGATTGCTTGCACAGTTGGAGCAGTCAAGAAGCAGCCAGGGGAAGCTATTCCAGACAACTCAGTTCATACAGCAGGTACTGGTTCGCGGAAGTTGCGCAGGGCGCCCTTCCGGCAAATTGAGGGCCCACGAGCAGTAAAAACGACGAGCAGTGACGGAGAAATCCAGCGCAAACAGCTAATGCTGACCCCAGATTCATCAACCCCAGTTTGGGAATGGGGTGTCCCTCAATTTAGTGGGGAGTCATGAAATTCTGGCGGATTAAGCGGTTGATCTGGGGCCATCAGAAAGTGCTTCCGCTTTGCTCTCGACTTCTGCGGCCCTTCGGAAGCAAGGCTTTCCGGAAGTTGGAGCCATTCTGCCAAGCCCCAGGAGCGAAAGCCGCCAAGTTTTTTATGTCAGAGATGAACTCCGGCATCGTTTTTTTTGGTCCTGTTCATTAGTGATTGACCCCGTTTTTTTTGGTCCTGTTTTTTTTGGTCCAGAGATGACCCTTTAGTTGTTTGGCCCTGTTCATTTTTGCTTACCATACCAAGAGTAGAGATGAGAGTGCATAGGTCCATGGATCGGGTTTTCGGAGCTCGACCTTTTGCAGGGCCCAAGTTGGTGGGTTTTGTGAAGGTGGGCGCATTGGTCGGTTGTCAAGGCGATGTCGCGGCCTCATGCGGAGTGTGCTTTGGCGGGTACCCTGTTTCAATCTGGGGTAAATTGGGCTAAAGGAACCCCATTTTGGAAAATTCTGAGTCCCTTTGACGAGGCAAAGCCACAATTAGAGTGCCAAACCCCCTGACGAGTGTTCATTGGCCCTCTTCCCCACCCAAACCTGTTGGGGTTTTACGAGACTGAATGAATTGTAAATACACCAATATTAATTGCTGCTACACATATAATAACTGTTGCACTTATTGCTACTGTAATAATTATACTTGAGTTTCCTTGTATAAAATTAATTCATATACCATGTTTATCTTTATTATCATTCGGATTTAATGTTGGTATTAATGTTTCCATTAAGAACCTTAGCCTGTATGCAAATCAACGAGCACAGATTCATTTGGAGAATGGCATGTGGCGCCACAAGCCATTCTCAACCACCGCCCACACTTCCCCTATTTGTGGCAATCCCAGTGAAACATGACCAAACACAGCGGTCGCTGCGGTCCTTGATCAGACGCATTTGGCAGGTCATGTTTGCTTTTCGTGTTTGGTTCCAAGGCCCATTCGCAAAGGCCAACACTTTGCAAGTTGAGCTGTATGTGCTGTACTTCAGCTAGGGAACGAAAGATGTGTTTGCAAGGGGGTGAAAGCATTTTTAAGTTCGGATGTTGCGGGGTGTCACAGATGGCTCCAAGAAAACATCAGCAGGGAATGAGAAATGGAATGACCCTTACAAACTTATAAAACCATCCCTTTGGTTTCCTTTAAGGGAATCCCAACACGGTACATTCCACCACATTCCCTACCTATCGCAGCAAGACTAGGTCCCCCAGTAGTGCCCTTTTACCCTTTTTTTGGCGGAGGGTTCTTCTACTAAGATAGACTGCAGAAAAAAAATCGGGTACCCTTATTCTAACCTCTCTACTGGAGGGCCTAGAAGAAGCAAGCTGTCCAAAACCGATCCGGTCTCCCGGTCTGAGGCCACACCGTTCACTCGTGTAACGGTGAAGGACATCTCCGGCAGGCGGCAATGGGGCAAAAAATCCCGCGAAGGTCGCCGAGCGGAAGGGACACATCCCCGGAAACTGTTTGGAAGGCGTTTTTCGAGCCCTTTCTTTCTTTCTTTCTTTTTTGTGGTGGACGGGAGTGTTGGCACACGCAAAGCCCTGAAAGGGTTGATTTGGGTTGAAGATGTGTGGCAGAGCACCATGAGATGCGACAGAGCAAATAGTTGAATTTCGGGGTAGTGAGTCTCTTCGGATGACTCTCATAGAGGTTTGGCAGTTGCTGTCAGCCCAGATGACACTTTCCACAACGATGGTTGATTCGGAACAAGGTTGGACCCCCGATTTGGCGATGCAAAATGGTCAGATATCTCACATGTGATGGTCAACCGGCTTCGTCGTCGTGATGCGTCCTTTTAAGGGCCAACCTACACACCCAAGAACAAGGTGCCATTCCCCTTTTTGTGCGGCCTCTGCAAATAATGTATGTGCCAGTGCTTTGAAAGCCTGCGTTTCGGTGTTCTTTTCTCTTGCAAGATGTTGACACGTGCACGACCCTCTCTTGATTAGGCTTCGCAACACACGCCCGCGTCCTGCTTGTGTTTGTGCGTGTGCCTGTGCGTGTGCGTGTGCGTAAGAATCCAATTGTGGGCTTCACAACACCAAGTGCGCGTGCCTGTGGCTGTGGCGAAACACCTGTGCGTGCATGTCCGACACTACACCCCAGGGAAATGAAAGCAAGTCCCCGAATGATCAGAAACACGTGCTCTGCAGGCCTTAGGGCCATAATGTTTCCCCTGATTATTACAGGGCCCCCCCCCCTGCCCGCCTTCACGGCCGACAAGGTTTGGACAATACTAAGGTTTTTTTGGAGGGGACCCCTCCTGATTCATCTGGAGCCCCTTCGGTCCTCGTCCTTTTACTTCCGGCCCCTGCCCAGCCAATGGAACTGGAAACAGGAACCTGGAGAACCTTTGTCGGTCCTTCTTGGCCTAGGACGTTAACCTTAAATAACAGTTCTTTGTTTTGAGCCCAAAAGGGCCCTGATGAATTGCAGGGGTTTTCCGTTCATGGGGGCTTGCTTCCAAGGGGGGTCCCCTTTGGCTTGAACACCTTGTCACGTTAAATTAAATTTAGTGAGAAACGTGCATTTTGGGGGAAGCACATTTTTGGGGAAAACTTGAGGGGTTCAATAGTGGCTCAGTATTGGCGGGTTGAAGCGCAGACCAAGACAAAAAGGGCAGTCACAGTTCTGGCAGGTTTTGTTGGTATGGGCACTGCAGGGGGGCGCCTTTAATGGCTGCGGGGCCCAAAAAATGAGTGCGTAGGGTTTGTGGGCCAACCTTGTTGGCCCTTTACTTTAGTATTCCTGGAAATCTGGGAGGCAAAAGAGGAAACCTTTAATCAGGGGGTCGAACCGTGACATGGGGGTACGGCTTCAAAACATGGTTTATGGATTTTAGCATTGGTGCCCTTAGAAGATGGCCCTGGGTTCAGTTGAGTTCTAATCAATTACCAGTAAACCATGAGCAGCCTAACTAAGATACAGGACAGGACAAAGTAGGATACCAGAATTTGGTGTTACCCCTGTAAACTGTGGTTATGGTACAGGCCTCAGAACTCACCAACTCTGCCCAGGCACCTGGGTTAAAGGCAGTTGGTTTCTCCTTGGTGGAGGGGGGGGGGGGGGGCGGGGGCAGGACAGAACCTAAATTCCCTCTACCGCAGTGCTTGCATTTATAGTTCATGCTTTGTAGTTTTAAGAATCACATGGAGTCACAGGTTTTGACAGCCATTAGTCTGGGCGAGTTTGTTTTGCAGTTGGTGCCTGCTCATGAGGGTCTTCAGGAATGCAGGAAGTGCAGGAACGCGGGGGGTGGTCAAACAAAGCAAGTTTGTAGATGGCACTGAAAAGTGCCTAATGCACTGCCAAGTGCAAGCTTTTTTCCAGGTCCCTGGCCTCCGGGACCTTGGCATTTGTTGGGAGGGATGGTGCCTTGATCCCTGGCCTCCGGGACCTTGGCATTTCTTTTTGGCACTGAAGTTTGATGATAACAGTTGTTAAACATAACTTAGTGGCACTGAAAAGTGCCTAATGCACTGCAAAGTGCAAGCTTTTTTCCAGGCCCCTGGCCTCCGGGACCTTGGCACTTTTTGTGCAGGGAGGGAGGGCGCCTTGGCACTTCTTTTTGAGGGGGAGGGGACAAGGGAGGGGTGGCCACACATCAAGCTCGCCCCGGAGGCCAGGGGCCCAGTTTCACATGATGGACTGACAGCCATGGATTTGCACTAGGGGGTTGGCTGTGTTGCATGCATGCTATTCACATTACTCAGCCAGGCCTTCAGGCATGTTCCAGGAAGCAATGCAACAAATAACCAGAAGCCATTCCAATGTTACTAGCCACCAACTTGACACATGCAATAGCCACTGCTCAGGTACACTGAGGTGATGACTTCTCAGTCGCATCACCATGCAGGCGCGGTTGTCTCATTTTGGCACTGAAAAGTGCCTAAAGCACTGAAAAGTGCAAGTTCTTAAACCAAACATGTTTCAATCTTAGCGGCACTGAAAAGTGCCTAATGCACTGCAAAGTGCAACCTTGCTTCCAGGTCCCTGGCCTCCGGGACCTTGGCACTTTTTGGGGGAGGGGGAGGGAGGTGCCTGGGAGGGAAGGGCTGGGCCGTGACCATGAAGCACACCCCGGAGGCCAGGGGCCCAGCTTCAGACGCATGGCGCACACATGCATGTTATGCAACATTAAATCAGCTTGCATCCCATTTAGGTTACCCGCCCAGCCCTTTAGGCATGTTTCAAGAGCCAGCGCAACATACTACAATTTTAAATGTGACTGCTTCCCAAGGGTTGTTGGCAACCAAATTGAGACACGCAGGAGTCACTCCAGGGGTGTTTTTCCTTTTGGGGCTGAACAGTGCAGTGTCTAAAGCAGTGAATCATACTCAAAGTTGAGGCTGCCTAGCAAAATGCACTTCTTCTTGCTTCCAGGTCCTGGCCTCCGGGACCATGGCACTCTTGTTTGGGTGGTGTCTTGGTCCCTGGCCTCCGGGACCTTGGCATTTCCTTTTGTGGGAGGCGGGGGGAAAGTGTCAGTGGGCCATGACCTGCGCATCAAGCTGGCCCCGGAGCCCAGGGGCCCTTTCAGATGCACTCACAGCCATGGTCAAGCATGCTTCTAGATTTGTTTGTTGCAAGCCATCCGCATGACCTGACACATGTTCCAACAACCAGTGCGACAAACAGTAGGTTGAAACATGACTGACCATTCCTGAAGCTGCATTGAACAACAGCCACTTATCAGGCGCATTGGGGCAAAGGACTCATTCGCATCGTCCAGGCATGGTTCTCCTTTCAATGCTGAACAATTTTAAAGCACTGAGACTGATTGAAGACTGACACAGTTGAAGTTGTTAATCTGTCATGCTTCTTGGTGGCAACCTTGCTTCCAGGTCCCTGGCATCCGGGACCTTGGCATCTCTTTTTCCTTGGGGGGTGGGGGGGGGGGCTGGGAGGAAGAGGCTGTGACCGTCATCAGTTGGAGGCCATGGGCCTAAGTGTGGAAACATCTTTGCCATCGCACACTGCGCTACGCACTTAGGGCTCTGCAAGGCCACTGCCACGCATCAGCCTCAGGGCAGGTTTCATCAGGGCTGCACATTGGCACAATGAACATGTTGCATGCAAACTCTCTCTTCCTTGCTCAGCAAATCAAAGCACTTTTCTCCACGCCAGGCACATCAAGATCTTCAATGGCATCTCCACCTGCCTGCGCAGGGCTTACACAGAGGGTCACTAGCAAACAAACACCTTGCGCAGTTGCAGTACACAAAGTCAGAGTTGTGGGGCCCCTGCCTGGCAGCTTACTTTGCCCTCAGTTTGGCTGCTGCTCTGGTCTCTGGTTTGGGCTCAGCCTTTGGATTTGCCCGTTTCTTGGTGCTCACTTTGGCCACTGCTTTGGCCTTCAGCTTTGGCATTGCTTTGGGTGTTGCTTTTAGGAGCATTACTGCTGGCTTGGGTGGCTCATTGGACTCTGAGTCTGAGCTTGTGTCTGAGCTTGAGCTTGAGCTTGAGCTGGAGCTTGTCTGAGCCTTTGCTTTGGGCTGCGCTTTTGGCTGCAACTTTGGCTGGCTTGGTCCTGCGCAACTGCAATCAAACAACCAAGGCTCACTGTGAAGACACGCTGGTGTCAGGCCATACCAAGCCCTAATGTGCAGTGTGTGATGTCCTGGTGCTTCATCCCTGCAAGCCTGCAGGCCTGCTGGCTCCTCATGGTAGATGATCTCGTTCAGTGCCTCAGCCTCAGTGACACAAAACATGTCTCAGATGTAGCTGGCACTTGTCAATCACACTGGTGGCAGCTGAGCACCCCAGCCACATCCAAGGAGGCTTGCACATCCTCCAGCTTGTCCGCAGTGTCAGCCAGCGTTTTCCTTACTTTGGAGAGCTCTTTGTCAAGGTTCTTGTTCTGCCTGCAAAGCTGCCGCTTTTTATAGGCATTGTCATGTTTGTGCGGCATGGCATCTGAACCCCTGCTCTGTAGGCCTGAAGGCCTGCAGGCCTGATGCGTGCTACTCAGTGCTTGGACTTGGACATGGAGATGTGCAGTCAGGCTTGCATTGTCTGGCTGTAGCAAGACCATCTTGAGCCACAATCTGCCAGAGTCTGCAAGCTCCATGGCCAGTGACCCTGCGTTGCTGAGGTTGTGGCTCTGCAGTCCATCGTGGCCACTGTCTGTCATTGCCTGAGCTTGCACGCTTACATTGACAGCCTTGCAAGTGTGAGTCCAAGCCTGAGTCATGCTCATTACTTGCAGGCACCTGTTTGCCACAGCTGTATACTGCCCTCAAACCCACACACAAGACAATTCATTGTAATGTGTGAACACTACTTTCCAAGGATGGGAAAAGGAACCCTCTGAGTACTAAGTTGATTGAGCAGACACAGCAAGCAGGGGTGCAACAGTGCAACAGCCATGGGCCATGCCTCCTCGTCGCAAACGCACGGCTGGCAGCAATTAAGGTAGTAGGCTATTGCAGCCAGGCTGCACAAACACTTCACCAGCCTGTGTGCCAGTTCCTTCCGCCCTGTTGGGCTGAGAGAGTCTGCGTTCAAGATCCCTGTCTTCATGACACCAATGCACAGAAGGTGGCAGGCCATGGTGACTGAGGAGCCAATGGCCAGAGCAATGCTAAAGTTCGGGATGTCAGCATCAGGCTGGAGGTCTGCTGGGCTGAAGGGGGACGTCCAATTGAAGAGCACCTCCAATGGGTACTTGATGGTCTCGTTGCCATAGCCCGCAATGAACTTTTGCATTGCAATGGCTTCTGGTTATTTGTTGCATTGCTTCCTGGGACATGCCTGAAGGCCTGGCTGAGTAATGTGAATAGCATGCATGCAACACAGCTAACCCCCAAATGCAACTAACAGCAATTTAGAACAGCTGGGTGACATGCACGCAGGCACCATGGCTGTCAGTCCATCATGTGAAACTGGGCCCCTGGCCTCCGGGGCGAGCTTGATGTGTGGCCACCCCTCCCTTGTCCCCTCCCCCTCAAAAAGAAGTGCCAAGGCGCCCTCCCTCCCTGCACAAAAAGTGCCAAGGTCCCGGAGGCCAGGGGCCTGGAAAAAAGCTTGCACTTTGCAGTGCATTAGGCACTTTTCAGTGCCACTAAGTTATGTTTAACAACTGTTATCATCAAACTTCAGTGCCAAAAAGAAATGCCAAGGTCCCGGAGGCAAGGGATCAAGGCACCATCCCTCCCAACAAATGCCAAGGTCCCGGAGGCCAGGGACCTGGAAAAAAGCTTGCACTTTGCAGTGCATTGGGCACTTTTCAGTGCCATCTACAAACTTGTTTTGTTTGACCACCCCCCGCGTTCCTGCACTTCCTGCATTCCTGAAGACCCTCATGAGCAGGCACCAACTGCAAAACAATCTCGCCCAGACTAATGGCTGTCAAAACCTGTGACTCCATGTGATTCTTAAAACTACAAAGCATGAACTATAAATGCAAGCACTGCGGTAGAGGGAATTTAGGTTCTGTCCTGCCCCCGCCCCCCCCCCCCCCTCCACCAAGGAGAAACCAACTGCCTTTAACCCAGGTGCCTGGGCAGAGTTGGTGAGTTCTGAGGCCTGCACCATAACCACAGTTTACAGGGGTAACACCAAATTCTGGTATCCTACTTTGTCCTGTCCTGTATCTTAGTTAGGCTGCTCATGGTTTCAGTGCAGTTCTTAATTGTCCAAAGGGACGCCTGGGGATTTGCGAGCATGGAGTTGTGCTGCATTGCCCCCTTTTGTCAACGGAGGGTTGGCCAATCCAAATTTCCAGCATCCCAGCAGAAGCACTACAAAAGGGGCCAAATCCTTTTGTAGCCCTAAAGGAGCAAGGATTGCGTTTGCCCATGCGTGCATCAGGTTGCGTGAAAGCAAGCCACAGACCCACAATTGGCGATGCGTTGCCGCACTGTCTAGGCTTTCAGCTTTCGGAATGTGAGCATTGATGCGTCATTCCGCATGTTTGCGTCGAGCCTTGAAATTGTCCCGAAATGGATCTGTGCAGTTGAAGACATCCCTCTGAATTCTTTTGACAAAGGGCCAAGCTGATGAAATATGCTAGCAGGGAACACGCGCAGCCATGCCGCTGGATTCTGAACTTGGGATTGCCAGAGACCATGTTCAGAGAAATCCCCCTAGGAATTGATTTCCCCGGGGCTCCGCCACCCCTTCCGAATCAATCTGAACAGGTTGCACGACATGGGCTTCCAGAGATTCGGGAACGAGAAGGTCTGGAACGGACACACTGGGCGACCGCTCACCAACAAGATCTTCGTCGGGCCTGTGTGACCCTTGCAACTCGTTGATCGGTAAGTCGCTGAGTTATGGGAAATCATGGTTTCACGCGTTTGCTGATGGTAGTGGCTTATTATTATCTTAGTTTGCCAAATGTTTGTATGTTTCGATGGTTGGTGCATGAAGCTGCCTTCACAGCTGGCCAGAGACATGCTATGTCAGCCAGAACTCAGAGTGAGCTGCAACTCGTTTAGGGCGGTCGCGCAGGTACTATCAGCGCCTGAAGCATATGGTGAGCGACAAGGTACAGTCCAGATCAAGAGGTCCAGCAGGGGCCTTTGCTAGCTCGTTTTGTTGGACCGGAGTTTGAGTGGCAAATGGCCCCCTCTCGTTGAGAAGCCACGGTGTGGCCAATGAGCCACACCATATCTTTATGAAGCCATAGCCCCCTTTGAAGTCGCTTCGCTCTTTAGCTGCGGACGCAACTCTTTAAAGCCACTGAGGACGGCGATCCCTGAAAAAAGTCGCAGAAAACGGAGGCTTACTTACCCGCTTCAAGGCTCCTGACTGCTTCTCTGCTGAGCACCGTGATCCATGGCAAAGGTTTCCCACCTGGGTCTTTTGAGTCTGAAGCGCAGGCCATGAAGCCTTCGTAAGCCGTACTTATCTTTTTCGGTTCTTCTCTGGCACTGAGTTGCTTAAACAGGGCTCCTGAAAAGATACATGTTGCCCATTTGAAACATGGCTTTTTCCACCGAAATAAAGGGAAAACCACCATTTACAAGGCAATGTTCAGGTGTATACTGTAAGGATCCCTGCTAAAAGTGGTGGTGTTCGAGCTGGAGCTGCGAAAGTGTACTTGGCGCACCTAGATGGTTGCTGAACAGAGCGGTTTCCACTTGGCTTTCGATTCTGAGCCGCAGCGCCCACAAGAAGGTGGCAACAAAAGCCCCAAGCGTCCACGTTTACGTCAAGCTCCCGCTAACGGGCAAGGCTCTGGCTCTAAAGCGCCCCATTTGTTGGGTCTGAAATATTATTTGTCTCATATATGGCTGTGGCTCAGAAACATGGACCCAATATGGCCCTTTGCAAAATGAAACAAAGACTAAAACTGCATAACCCTAGCTGTGTAATGTTGAGCCACAACCATATGGAGGCTCCATTGAGCAGCTCTAAGAATTCCTTTTTGCATCCCAAGCCCCGCGTAAGCAAAACCCACGGCGCAAGCTGGCGTAAGCACTTGTTGGGGAGACTTGCTGCGCAAGCACCCTCGAAAGCTCCTCTTCGTGATTGCTTGGCAAGCTTTGCAACCATGCACAGAAGCGTGGTTTCACACATGTGCTTATGTGTGTATTGGTAGCTTGTTTGTCGAGCCTGGCAACTTGTCCGAAGACTTTGGCTGCAGGAAGGCGCGTCTAAGACCACGCATGCTCACCACTAGAAAGCAAAGCCAACAAAGTTCTTCATTGGGAGCTCTTGGAGCTCATGACCTTTCCCAGGAGAAAAAGGCTTCCGACGCAGCAGATTTAGAAAAGCCTAGAGGGGCTCGGGCGTGTAAGCTCGCGTAAGCAGGCGCGTAAGGCTTGCGTAAGCTCGGCTAGCTCGGCTGCCCGCTAGCACGCGCTGCGGGTGCCGCCGCCGCATAAGTCGTTTCTTGACCTGCAGTAAGAACAACAAGGCCAAGCCGCTGAAACTCCTGAGGGTATTTAGCTCCTCGTCATTTTCTTCCTCAGAGTCATCCGCGTCAGCTTGAACAGCTCAGGCGGCTGCATATTCTTAGGGGGAAACGCTCAAAATGCCGACGCGTAAGCGACGCGTAAGCTTCACATGCTCGCTGACCGCCGCGTAAGCTAAAGCATGGGTCGCGTAAGGAAAGCGCAAGCTTGCACGTAAGCAACCTGATGCGAAATCGGGATTCACGAGGAATTATCTCGGTTGTTGTTGGGAAACATTTTACATTTTTGCTTATTGTGGTTTAGTGGGAAATCCCCACTTGGCGGCAAAAGTTTAGTTGTTTGCCCCCCTTTCAACGTCAACCAAGTTATAGGCTTTGCACACCCTGAGGTTCAGACCTTGGTGCGGCAGCCAACAGAAGGCGCGCACTAGCCAACACGAGAGTCGCATGCGCTGTGTGTTGAACCATGCAGCGGTCAAGACCCCCGAATAGGACCTTTGTCCCAACGGGGTCCAAGAGCATCTGCCGTTTGGAGCGCTTTTGGGGGCTTTACACATCTTGGGGCATGTGTATTGCAGGGCTCCTTAAAAGATACATTTTGCCCATTTGAAACATGGCTTTTTCCGCCAAAATAAAGGGAAACCACCATTTACAAGGCAATGTTCAGGTGTATAATGTAAGGATATGTAAGGATCCCTGTATGGTTTCCATTGTTTTGCAATGTTGGTCGCATGCGTATGAAATGGTTTTGACTCATGGCTGTCTTTGAGGGCGCGTGCTCATGCCCTGTTTCAGCAAGTGATTGAATTGAGCCAGACGCTGCCGCAAACAAATGAAGCCATAGTTGATGCAACCAGTACTGGGTTTGTGAAAGTGTGATGATGTTTTGTCACAAGGACAGGGCCGATCTCCCTTTCCATGTTTTCCCACCTTTGCCATGAACATGTCCGACATACTTGCTCCGTGGAGCGAAAGCCACCTTGGTGCGATACGTCATGTATTCAATGCGGTTGGTGAATGTACCAGTCATGAGCTGGCCGACCCCGCAAAACAGCCTTGAATATGTGTGCACAAGCTGTAGCACCTATTTCATTACCCTTCCTCCAACTAACATGGCACCTGTGGGGAGGTACCTGGAAGATTAATTTCCTTTTGAAGGGCCCCCCTGTCAGTTGCCATGTTAGTGGGAGGGAGGGTACCCGCCCGCCACGAAACATGGGAGGTGCAGAGGTCCCTTGACTCTTCGCGTTTCGTGTGGGCTCAGCTCGTGGGTCTGAGCTTGGCGCGCCAGGCCGTGCCAAAGAGGGCGGGCTGCGGTTTGGTGAGATGGAGAGACGGGAACCGACAAGTACCTCCCCAAAATTGAAATGGGTGTGTCTTTTTGATGGCGCCCTTTCTGGGGGGTGGTTTGAAAGGAAACCAAAGGAACTCCAAGCCTCCTATGAGGCAAACCCAAATGTCTCACCGGATTGTAGCCAAAAAGCATGAAGCTAGCTTCAGAAAGGATAAGGCTGAAAGTAGAATGCCGCAAGTTTCCATGCGGATGCTTTGATTTGGATAAGGCAGGCAGGAAAAGGCTGGACGCAGGGCTTGCTGGCAGGATGCACCCAAAGAGGCTTGTGTATGGGCTCACGGCTAGACAGCACGCTCCAGATTGAGCCTTCAGAGGTTCCAACTAGATCGGAAGAGGGCAGGCCATAGGCTAAACGAATATTCCGTTCGGCCCCCAAATGACCATATTTCCGCATAGAAAGGAACGTCATTTGTTGTGGTTTTCCCTAAATGGTCCCATGCAAAGCACCTTTTGGTCAACTCCCACGTAGGCTAGAAAGCTCCAAAGTGCACGACGGCCTCCCTTCTTTGTCATGTTGTTGGGGAAGCAATGAGCATAGACGCACCTTGGCCATCCGCAGCCCTAGGAGCGTGATTGCATCATCTCCCACGGCGCTGCCAAGTTCCTCAAGGTGGGGCATCGCGCCGAGGAAAAAACTGAGCCGAGCCAATGGTCGAGGCGCCGGCTGCAACTGGCCGGTTGCAACCCGTTGGTCAAAATCGATGAGTGCAGTCCAAACAATTTTTCTCCAGAGATTCGTCTCAGGGGAAAAGACTTTGGTCGAACCGAGGCTGCGGCGCAGTGTGGTGTGAACTGACCTCCTGACGTCGATTTTGCTAGTTGCAAGACATCTTCAGACGAACATGATACGATTGTCATACTCCCAACTGCTTGCTTTGAATGACGAGAAGGATCCGGCACCCTGGCGCTGCCAGAGGGAATCTTGGGTTGTTTCTCTTGTGATACTTCTGCAGAGGGGCAGCATGACATGCTTGCCCCAGTGAAGTCAGCAAGAAGTTGCTATCGCACTTTCAATCGTGTTCATTGGTTGAGTCCAGCAGATTGGAACTGCTGTAAATGAGGGACGTGTTGACTGATGCGACCCACTGATCCTCGGCTTAGGCGGACCCCACCATGTCAAAAGAGATCAAAAGAGGGGTTGAAATCCACTTGCCAGGAGCGGCTGTTCGACGTGTCTGATGCTCACAGAATTCACGTCTGCGATACGTCCGGACCACAGTGCCACATGAGCCCTTTACGAGCAGCTTGCCACATTTAGGTTCCCATGGAGTCCTTGTTGGAGATGGTTGGCGGAGGTGTTTGCCCGTCATTATTTTCTGCTCCCTTGCTACGAATTGCACAAACGTGTCACACATGTTTGCAACAAGCTACATCGTTATGGTGCTGGTGCACACGCGCTCGTCCCGGAAGTGCATTTGCTGTATTGAATAAAAAGCGCAACATGCGGGCAGGTCAGTGAGACTGGACGTGGTGGCAAGACCAATGAACATGTAGGGCGAAAAATGCGGTCAGGGAATCCCATCACAGGGAACAGTAGTAATCCCAGGGCCACTTGTTCACAGCCACGCAGGTCCCCCAAAGGAGACTGGTCCAAGCAAGGGGACGTTCGGAAATGCGTTCGTCGACTGTGGAAGTTAGTTGCCTATGAACCACACACGACGCACAGTGAGTTTCAGAGGTGTGGCCTCTTTGCCATTGCAAAGCTCAGCAAAGACACTTACGAGTGCAAGCTGTGCAAGGACGGGCACCAGATAGTTGCTGTGCTGATCTGTTTGACTTGCTCGGTGTGTTGTTTTGGGTTTGGCCGTTCCTTTTGTGAATTCTGAGTCTCTGAATTGACTTGCTTGGTGTGTTGTTGTTTCCGGTTTGGCGTTCTTTGGTGCATTCTGAATCTCTGAAAGGCAACCAGGTTTCACGTCATGAATAGGAGACGTCACCCCAAAGGCCAAAGGGCTGTTTGCAGTTGCTTCTATATAATCCATGATCGGTCTGCAGGCAGAAATGACATTCAACCAACCATACAGACCAGCATGTGTTGAATGAACATAGGCAGTTTGGAATCGCCTCGTCTCCTCATGATGTCCAGGACAAGGCCAACGTCTCGCAGGTTTGCTTGCCGTGCTCCGGGGAGAGTTCGTTACTAAACCCTCGCTCGTTGTGTTCTGCTCCGGTTCATTGGGCAAGGTGTGATTATTGAAAACCGGGTGCGGGGGAGGGTTGGAGTTGCCAATGTTTAGTATGGCCTTGCCGGAGGGGCGTGGGGGGTTCACCAGAATCCCAACGTGCTCCACTCCGACACTGCTATGTTCTGACTACGTTGGCAACTTTCTGGAGCACTGTGTTGCGGGAGAGGGCGATGTGCAACGCACGCCCAATACCCCAGTGCTTGGGGTCGGTGGAAAACGTGCTGGTTTAGTGGCCACATTCTTGGGAGAATTGGGACTTTGAGGGGTAAGATGGGGCAAGAAGGCTTTGCGAGCACGAAAAGAGCAAGCGGCATCACGAGGCCCTGGTCATTTTCAGAGGCAGAGCCTCAAACAAGACGATTCAAGCATTGACTGCCATAGAACATGTAGATGTGCACCAATGGACTTCCCTTCAATGGGATTCTTTGCTTTCAAGATGCTATCTACATGCCACGGTACTGAAAGGTTCGATCAGCTTGCAGTCACCCAGCGAGCCATGTCTCCGGCGTCTGGGATTTGCTCGAAGAAATGGCTCCGATCTTGCGAAGCAAGCAAACAAAAACCATTGGCCTCCCCTTTCTTTCAGAGCCAAGTCTTGTATCAGAAGATAGTCAATCGCAAACATAGGTACCCATATGGCCATGGGTCAAAATCCCGTACCCCCAGTGAACATCCCAATCCCCACTAAAATAGAGTAAAATGGGTGGTGCACCTACCCCAAAACGGTACCATTGGTTTTGACCCACAGCCATAGTTTGTCTTTGATTATTTTGTTCCCAAAGAGCCCACTTGCTGGATCCGCCTGAGCTCACTGAGGTACGCGTGCAAGCTGATGATTCAAGAGCTGATGACCATGAACATCCTGCCCCGTCTGGTTCTTCATGCCACCGGGCCGCAGGTTTTCCTTGTTGCATTTTGCTTTGCTAGGACTTTCACTTTTTGCCCACTAGTGGGTTGTTGCATCAAACCACGAACAGTCCAACTTTTAGCAGAGAAGCAGAAAGCAACCGAGTTTTGTGAGCAAAAGGGGATGACGCACTCCCATGCGGTCAGATGGCGTTAAAATGTCAGAGAGCCCCACATGGGGTGAACAACCAGCAATGTGGTTGGCGTGCATTTTGGTGCTGAGGTTCAGTGAAGTGCAACTCCGCTGGATTGGACCCGAAAAAAATGGTTGCCGTTGGACCGTGTTGAAGGGCCACAGAGAGGCCCGAACATGGGCCCTGGTTGGTCATTTCTTCCTGCGCACAGCATCGTGTCTCATGAACAAAAAACCAAGCGCAGATTCGCAGAGACGCAACCATGCAATCTCCGAAGCTTAGGAACTTGGCCGGGTGAAGGGTGAAGCCTTTGCGGTTTGTGTTTGCGTCCGGATTTCGGCCATCGCAAATCCTCGCCAGTTGAAACTTTGCGTCCGGCAAGCTGGTTCCTCGGCTCTCAGTGAGTGTCATCAAAGGCGGCAGAAGCACAGCTTTGGCAGAGGCAGAAGTCCGTGTGAAAGAGACCAGACAGGAAGCCCGTTTCTAGGCCAAGCCCAAACAGAAGCCAGCTCCAGACAATTTCAGCTACCCTTCTTGCAACATATTGCTAAAACACATGGCACCCGGCACAAGTACATGTGGTTGGGCGTGCAAGGAATCACAAGCCGCATGACATCACACAGAGGGCCGTGAATTCGTAAGCACGAGTCCGAGGTGCGGGGCTTTTCGTCCACTCAGCTTGGCTCGACTGACTTCGAACCCCGAACATAGCAGGGCCCTGTCTTCTCTGTCCACCTTGTTTTGGGTGTGTTTGTTTTCCCATTTTTTTGGGGGGGATGGTCTAAAGAGAAGCCTAACCGAGACCCATCCTTTAAAAGCTTCCCTCAACTCGGAGGCGTTTTCAGCCTGTCAGGCCATGGTGAATGTTCTCTGGGGTCCGAGCCTGAGGATCTGGGGACGCTTCCAAAATTCCAGTTGGCCTCAAAACTTGTAGGGGGTTCACACGAATTCATTGAAGGGGGAAGTCCAAACCAAGGCGTATGGCAAGCTGACTGCTGGAATTGCAATCACAGCCTTGGTGGCACACACCTTGAGATTGAGTTTGGGGAGTTCTTCTCTCCCCCTCAAGGAAGGTAAGGGGTAATGCCGCTAGCTGCTGGATGGAACTTAAGCGTTACATTCCAAATCGCCAACTCGCCACTACCAACAGTTGCCTCGTCAAGTTTCTGGTAGATGGGGCAAATAATTTGCAGTTTCACGCAGGGGAGCTTGCCCAAGCGACACTTTGGTGGTGGCTTCTAGATATTCAGCGGGATGTTGCTACACATTGTTTGACAACCTGGACGGTCCAACGAGACAAACATGCTGTGAGTTTTCCCGATCGGGGGTCGGGGTGTGGCAACATGAATATGTCGTATAATGGCTATACTATGTAAATGCAATATGTACAACATGTGCAGATGCCGCCTTGTTGTCGTCTAGTTGTTGTATATGTGTTGCCTGCCTTTGTGTTTCCCTTGTTGGTTTGTTTGCTTGTTTGCTTGTTTGTTTTGTTTGTGTGTTTGTTTGTTTGTTTGTTTGTTTGCTTGGTTGTTTGTTTGCTTGTTTGCTTGTTTGTTTTGTTGTGTGTTTGTTTGTTTGTTTGTTTGTTTGTTTGCTTGTTTGCTTGTTTGTTTGTTTGTTTGTCTGTTTGTCTGTTTGTTTGTTTGTCTGTTTGTCTGTTTGTCTGTTTGTTTGTTTGTTTGTTTGTTTGTTTGTTTGTTTGTGTTTTTGCATGTTTGCACAGCGCTTGCATGCGTGCCTGAGTGCTGTGTGTGTGTGTGTTGTGTGTATGTTGTGTGTGTGTGTGTGTTGTGTGTGTGTGTTGTGCGTGTGTGTTGTGGGTGTTTGTGTTTGCTTATGTCTGTGATTCTGGGTAATGTGTGTTTGCATGGTTCTGTTTGCGTGTGCTTGTCTATGTGTTCTTTCTGTGTTTGTGTGTGTGTGTGCTGCTTTGTGGGTGTTTCTTTCCTCCTCTCTCTCTCTCTCTAGCTGTGTGTTTGTGTCTCGGTGCGTGGTTGTGTGTGTGTGTGTCTGTCTGTCCGTCCGTCCGTCCGTCTGGTTGTTTGTGTCTCTGGTTGATTGGTTGATTGGTCGGTTGGGTGGTTTGCTGATTGGTTGGCGGGTTGGTGGGTTGTTTGGGTTGTGCGGGTGTGTGGGTTGGTGTGGGTTGGTGTGGGCTGTGTGGGTTGCGTGGGTGTGTCTGCTTGCTTGCTGGCTCGTTTGCTTGGTTGGTTGTTTGTTTGGTTGGTTGTGCGTGCGCGCCCGCCTATCGCATGTTTGCGTACTGCATTCGTGTGTGCTTCTGGCTTTGTGTGGGTTTCTGTGTTTGTGCTTCAGTGTGATTATGTGCTGTTTTGACTGTATGTTTGTGTGTATGCGTGCCTCGCCTTGCGTGTGTTTGGACGTTGAGGATTTAATGTTTAGGTCTTTGGTCTGATTGACAAATGATGGTGCTCCAGGCAAACAAGAAGTGGCGCAGGATGGCAAGCGCAGGGAGCCTGTGAGTTTTTTCTGCGCCGAATTGTCCACCCCAGGCGTGGCTGCCATGAAACTGGACGGCGAAAATACAGCGGCAGAGGCACGGGCTGCTCTAGACAGCTCACTGGCATGGCCCACTGCTTGGGAATGGGAACCGCAGCAACACTTTAGGTGGAACTGGCGGCTTGCAATTTGCGCAGGTTGTGTTGCGTAGTGCTAAAGTGTTCGCGGCAGCAAAGATGTGTACTGGAATAGACAGTTGTGGCGGTGGTGGTGGCGGCAAAGGTGGTGGTGGTGCTGGTGGGGGTAGCAGTAGTAGTAGTCTACTAGTCAGTAGTAGTAGTAGTAGTAGTAGTAGTAGTAGTAGTAGGAGTAGGAGTAGGAGTAGGAGTAGTAGTAGTAGTAGTAGTGGTAGTAGTAGTAGTAGTCATCATAGTGGTCGGCCCGCTGGCTCGATACACACCCCTCGTTACACACCCTCGTTACACACCTCAGATGCACAAACCGCTTGGCTGGTTGCATGCCCCTCGTTACACACCCCAACGCATGCACAGATTCTCAGTCGAGCCTCGTTGCAGACCCAACTCCAGCCCGGGCCCCCACCCCCCTTTTTGCCGCAGCTTGGCCTGCGTTGCAATAGCTTGCAATCAAGCTCCAGCTGCGGAAGCGCAAGCTTACTGCGCTTTGCTTTGCCTCGTTCCAGACCCCGTCACATAGCCGCTACATACCTCGTTACAGACCCAGCCCCAGCCCGGGCCCGCGACCCTCCTTGCCTATCGTTTGGCTTTGTTTCGGCAGTTGCAAATTTCAAACGGCGTTACAGTCCCAATCCCAGCCCGGGCCCGCGACCCCCCTGCCGCTTGGCTTGCGTTGAATAGCTGCACTCAAGCAGGGGCGCTTTGCGTGCTCTTTGCTATGCCTCAGTACACCCCTTGTTAAAAAGCCGTTACATACCTTTTTAGAGAGACTGGGCCAGCGACCCCCTTGCCATCACTTGGCTTTGTGTCGGCAGTTGCAATTTCAAGCTGGAGCTGCGGAGGCGTGCTTTGCGTACATTGTGCACTGATACTCATACATGTCAAGAAATGTTTTCCCGTTACAGACCTGCGTAACAAGGACCTCTGTTACAGACCTCCGTAACAAGATTCGTGGCGCGTCGCGCGTTGAATAAACTCATAGCCAGTAGTCATAGTAGTCTTAGTAGTGGTGGTAGTCGTAGTCGTAGTCGTAGTAGTAGTAGTAGTAGTAGTAGTAGTAGTAGTAGTGGTAGTGGTAGTGGTAGTGGTAGTGGTAGTGGTAGAAGTAGTAGAAGTAGTGGTGGTGGTAGTAGTAGTAGTAGTAGTGGCAGCAGTAGTCGTAGCAGTAGTAGTAGCAGCAGCCGAGGAAGAAGAGGAAGTAGTGTTAGTGGTGGTGGTGGTGGTAGTAGCACCAGCAAAAGGAGTGGCATTTGGCAGCATGGGCGCACGGGAGCGAATCTCCTTGATGTTCTGTTCTTATATTGTTTTCCAACGATTATAGCTTAGGGCTTGCCTCTATCAATAAATTGCTTTACGCGGGCAAGGAGGGGCTGCACAGGCTTACCGACTCGGCAACATTTACCAAAATTTGCGGAAAGTTCACCCCGAAATTGGCCGTAAATTGTGAGCAAACTAAGCGGAAGTTGTGTGTATATCGTGGGAAATATTAGGAGGAAATTTGGTAAACTGGGAGAAATGTTGGGAGCAATTTACCACCAATTTTGTGGGTAGTTTACCCCAATTTTATTGGTTATTTACCCCCAATTTTGTCGGTAGTTTACCCCCTAATTTTGTTGGTTATTTACCCCCAATTTTGGGAAACCTGGGATTTACCCCAATTTTTGGACTCGCTATTTACCCCCAATTTCCAAAATTGGGGGTTAATAGCGAGTCCCAAACTTGGGGTAAATGACCTCAAACTTGGGTGTAAATTACCCACAAATTGGGTGGTAAACTACTGACAAAATTGGTAGAGAGGGTTGTTTCCACGACAAAGAACATGTTACAAGGACAAAGAACATCGTTACACCAGTTACACCGACAAGTTTCAGTGAAGACTATCCCGACAAGGTAAGAATGTCAATAGAAATGAATAAGAAGGAATGAGAAGGTCAATAAAAAGGAATAAGAAGGTGAATAGAAAGGAATAAGAAGGAATGAGAAGGTAGGTCAATGAGAAGCTTTGCCTCCGTGCCCTTGGGCCATGGTTGCCTCGCACGCCTTCGGGCCTTGTAGCTTTTGGATTCTGTTGGTTCGCCCACGGGCCTTGTTTGCCTTCGAGCTTTGCCGCCGTTCCCTCGGCCATGGTTGCCTCGCACGCCTTCGGGCCTTGTAGTTTTTGGATTCTGTTGGTTGGGCCTTGTTTGCCTTCGAGCTTTGCCGCCGTGCCCTCGGGCCCTGGTTGCCTCGCACGCCTTCAGACCTTGTAGTCGTGCGTGTGGGCATTGCTGGTACGCTTGGCGTATGTTTGTGCCGGGGCAGGGCCCTTATATTGTCTGCTCGACAATGCTTACACCCTCTCTTGAACGTCATTCAGGTTTTCCTATTGGCGGGGCAGACGAGACGGCCCAGCTGGTAATCCAAGGGCTCAGAGCCATAGACACCTTGGAGCAAGAACCCCAGTGGATATTGGAGCAAGGACTTGCGTCGCATCAGTGGGGCGGATAAACATCTTTGGAGCAAGAGCTCGTGTCGCATCAGTGGATGTTGGAGCAAGGACTGCATCAGTAGAGCGGATAAACATCCTTGGAGCAAGAACTCAAGTCGCATCAGTGGAGTGGAGGCCTAATTTCTGAGAGGCGAAGGGGAAAGAATTGCCAAGCGTCAGTAGAGTGGCTGGCAACAGATCTGGCGATGGGGTGGAATGTGGACAAGATGGAGTCAGCCAGCGCATCGTGCAACATGGGACGTGTCATTCCGACAGACTTTGCTGTGCCTTTTGATTGCAGTGACATTGTGTAGGCTTTGCGGCTCTGCGCGCGCCCGTTTGGTGGCTTCTGAGGATTCCTTCTCATTCCTTTCTAGTGTCCTTCTTATTCCTTCTTATTCCTTTCTATTGACCTTCTTATTCCTTTCTATTCACCTTCTTGTTCCTTCTTATTCCTTTCAATTGACCTTCTTATTCCTTCTTATTCATTTCTATTCTTCTTCTTATTCCTTCTTATTCCTTTCTATTTTCCTATTCCTTCTTATTCCTTTGTATTGACCTTCTTATTCCTTCTTATTCCTTTCTATTCCTTTCTATTGTCCTTCTTGTTCCTTCTTTTTCCTTGCTATTGACCTTCTTGTTCCTTCTTATTCCTTTCTATTGACCTTCTTCTTCCTTGCTATTGACCTTCTCATTCCTTTTTTCTGCCCTTCTCATTCCTTCTTATTCCTTTCTATTGACCTTCTTATTCCTTCTTATTCCTTTTTATTTGACCTTCTTATTCCTTTCTATTGACCTTCTTATTCCTTCTTATTCTTTTTTTATTGACCTCTTGTTCATTTTTCTTGTTTTTATTGACCTTCTCATTCCTTCTTATTCCTTTCTATTGACCTTCTCATTCCTTCTTATTGACCTTCTTATTCCTTGCTATTCCTTTCTAAGACCTCCTCATTCCTTGTTATTTCTCTTTATTCACCTTCTTATTCCTTCTTATTCCTTTCTATTGACCTTCTTATTCTTTTTGTTCCTTTCTATTGTTATTCCTTCTTATTGACCTTCTTATTCATTCATATTTATTTTTTCTGACCTGCTTATTCATTTCTATTGACCGTCTTATTCTTTCTTATTCCTTTCTATTGTCCTTCTTATTCCTTCTTATTCCTTTCTATTGACCTTCTTATTCCTTCTTGTTCAAATTTATTGACCTTCTTATTCCTTCTTATTCATTTCTATTGACCTTCTTATTCCTTTCTATTCACCTTCTTGTTCCTTCTTATTCCTTTCAATTGACCTTCTTATTCCTTCGTATTCATTTCTATTCTTCTTCTTTATTCCTTCTTATTCCTTTCTATTTTCCTATTCCTTCTTATTCCTTTGTATTGACCTTTTTATTCCTTCTTATTCCTTCTTATTCCTTTCTATTGTCCTTCTTGTTCCTTCTTTTTCCTTCCTATTGACCTTCTTGTTCCTTCCTATTCCTTTCTATTGACCTTCTTCTTCCTTGCTATCGACCTTCTCTTTCCTTTTGTCTGCCCTTCTCATTCCTTCTTATTCCTTTCTAATGACCTTCTCATTCTCTTATTCCTTTTTATTGACCTTCTTATTCCTTTCTATTGACCTTCTTATTCCTTCTTATTCTGTTTTATTGACCTTCTCAGTCCTTTTTTATTGACCTTCTTATTCATTTTTCTTGTTTTTTATTGACCTTCTCATTCCTTCTTATTCCTTTCTATTGACCTTCTTATTCCTTGCTATTCCTTTCTAAGACCTCCTCATTCCTTGTTATTTCTCTTCATTCACCTTCTTATTCCTTCTTATTCCTTTCTATTGACCTTCTGGTTCTTTTTGTTCCTTTCTATTGTTATTCCTTCTTATTGACCTTCTTATTCATTCTTATTTATTTTTATTGACCTGCTTATTCCTTTCTATTGACCGTCTTATTCTTTCTTATTCCTTTCTATTGTCCTTCTTATTCCTTCTTATTCATTTTACTGACCTTCTTATTCCTTCTTATTCAATTTTATTGACATTCTTTTTCCTTCTTATTCATTTCTATTGACCTTCTTATTCATTTTTTTAGACCTTCTCATTCCTTTCTATTGACCTTCTCATTCCTTCTTCTTCCTTTCTCTTGACCTTCTTATTCCTGTTTATTGACCTTCTCTATTGACCTTCATATTCATTTCTATTGCTTTCTCATTCCTACTTTCTAATGACCTTCTCATTCCTTTCTATTCCTTTCTTTTGACCTTCTCATTCCTTCTTATTCCTTTCTATTGGCTTCTTATTCCTTGCTATTCACTCTTATCAATTTATATTGGCCTTCTTATTGCTTTTCATTCCTTGCTATTGACCTCCTTATTCCTTTCTATTGTCTTAACCTTCTCATTCCTTCTTGTTGCTTTCTAATGACCTTCTTATTCATTTTCATTCTTTTCTATTGACTTTGTTCTATTCTATTGACCTTCATATTCTTCTTATTCCTTTCTTTTGACCTTCTTATTCCTTTGTATTGACTTTCTTATTCTTTTCTATTGGCATTCTTATTCCTGACCTTCTCATTCCTTTTTATTCCTTTCTACTGACCTTCTCATTCCTTGTTATTCTCTATTTGCATTCTTATTGGCCTTCTTATTCATTCAATTCCTTTCTATTGGCCGTCTTACTCCTTGCTATTGACCTTCTTATTCCTTCCTATTGCCCTTCTCCTTCCTTTTTATTGACCTTCTCATTTCTTCTTATTCTTTCTACTGACCTTCTCATTCCTTTTCATTCCTTTCCACTGACATTTTCATTCCTTCTAATTCTCCTTTGACCTTCTCATTCCTTCTTATTCCTTTCTATTGACCTTCTCATTCCTTCTTATTCCTTTCTATTCACCTTCTTATTCCTTCTTATTCCTTTCTATTCACCTTCTCATTCCTTCTTATTCCTTTCTATTGACCTTCTTATTCCTTCTTATTCTTTTCTATTGACCTTGTTTTTCATGTCTGTTTCCTTGCTTGTCGGGATAAGCCCGCAAGAAACATATCGCTGTAACGCTTTTTTCTGCCGCGGTAACATTGCACCTTGTCATGGTGACAAAATCGCGTTTTTGTCGTGGTTACAACCCCCCCTCACAAAATTGGGGTAACTAACCCACAAAATTGGGCCACAAACTTGGGTGGTAAATTACCGACAAAATTGGGGGTACATAACCAACAAAATTGAAGGTAAACTACCTACAAAATTTGTTGTAAATAACCAGTAAGTAACCCACAAAAATTTTGGGTAAATAACCACAAAAAAGGGGGTAAGTTACCGACAAAATTGGTGGTAAATTGCACGAAAATTGGGGGGTAAATTACCAACGAAATTGGGGGGACATTTGAGGTACATTGGTGGTAAAGAGTTACTGCTACAGGCAAGGCTTAAATTATAGCAATTATCTGTCCTACAAAGCTGGTGACTAGGAGAACTTGGCCAGCATCGATTTCTGCAATGTGTGACGTGTTGCTTCCCTGCTTGCAACAGAGGGAACTCGGGACATGGCTTTGGCTGCCAAGTCGCCAACCTCCGAAATTGGCACTTCCCCGCAAACAAACAAATACAGCAATTGTCATTGTCTCTCCTTGCAATGTGCCAATTGTTTTCATGCTCACTTTTCGAACTGGGTTCGGTTTGGGTTTCATCATGTCTCCGGAGGTCCTGGCGAAGTTTCGGGAGGCCATGCAGCTACAGGATTGGAACGAGGCGTCCGAGTTCGGGAAATGGCTCCAGGTTTTGGTGCTTGGAAACGAAAAGAATGCTCTTGCCATGCGACTGCGGGGCTGGCTGCGGCTCCTACCAGTTGAATATTTTGCTGACTGTGGTTCAATTTTGTGGTTCCCCCTGTTTTGACACGCTCCCTTCCAGTTCCAGCGGGTCTGACAGCTGTCAGATGGCACAAAGATAGAAAGTTTACAGAAAGGCCCGCCTGTGAGTTCCGCTGCTGAATCTAGTATAGTCCTCATATGCCCATGTTGGGCTTCCATGATTTGTTTCACACGCATACCTGGGGTACGTGTGCAGCGACGGTTGCCTTGCATGCGCTACTCTGGTTCTTCAGCAGCGCCCTTTCCTTGTTCCATTGCCGCGTTCCCGGTTTGCAAAAAGGAAGGCGCCGTGTCAGGAAAGTTCTAAGTCAGGGGGTTGGTTCTGGGAATGTGTTTTGTCCACCTGCGATACCCTACACTTTTTGAGCATGGGACGCCATGCCGGACCATGCCATCGGAACGCGGTCACTTGGATGTCTTGGGGCTATGAGGATGCAGCGCACACAGCCCATTTACCTGCACAACCAAGAGCAGAAACCCTGTCAAAACCCAGAAACCTTCCAAGAACCCGGAATGATTCTACTATTACGGACTCAGCGAATCTCGAGATCACTTCACGGCTATGGGAAAAGGTAGGTGTCCCCTGAGCAAATACGGTGGACAACTGTTGTCACTTGCCCGGAAACCGCCGTGAATTTCGCAGCTGGGAGAGAGCAAGCTCCAGCTGAGAGCTTCGCAGGGTGTCCATCAAATTGTTGGAGACCTCCTTCTGGATTGTGCTAAACGGGAAGCCAAAACGCACCTGCCATTTTGTATGATCCCAAAATTGGCAGCAAGACCCGTATCCTCAAAAGGGACGCAGCTGATTGCTTCTGGGCTGTGAAGCCTCTGGGCATGGACATGCCAGGCTGGCAAGGGCATGAACTTGTACCGCTTGGCGCCCCCTGCGCGATTGTGTCACAGCCCTGCGAGCGTCCCACTTTGGGCCGAGAATGCTTGAGGGACAGTTTTTACGGAGATGGAAACAAACACGGAAGGGAGCAGTGACACAGGCTCTTTGCAGGGCAAGAAGATAAGTCCATGACCCTTCACAGCCCCTCAGCCTGTCTCAGTTTTGCACAATTGCACTCTTCAACAATTGTTTTTAATGCAAATGCACTGAACATGTTTGCGCTTGTTGGACGAGCGAATCGAAGTTTGTTTGCCCACCAGCCACGGGATCCGCCAGCCAGGTACCGGTGACTGACCATGTCATCCGACTTGCAGAGCAGGCCTGGGGGTCAGGTGTGTTTGTGTGTGTGTGTGTGTTTGCTCCTAGGGTTCCTCCTTTTTGTTGGCCAACATGGTCAATGGACACTACCGTTGTTTGTGGTCCTCTTGTTTCGGTACGCTTACATTTTGACCAGCTTGATCGGGTATGTGCGGCAAGGCATGGTTCTCAGCCATTTCACCCATTGCTTCATGGTAGTTGCGCCACTCCCCAAAGGTCTCGATTGCGCTTCTGGGCCAAACACTGCCGTGATCATGCCTGGAAACGGGACAAGCTCTAGATGTAACCCAGTACCTTGCATGTCTCACTGTCATGTGGCACGTGAGTGGCGCCCAAGAAACCGCGAAATGACGTTTAGAAGGGACTTCTGTGGTTCGGACACTACTTGAAGGTAGGTCTTTGCAAAGACATTATGAAGACATCTGAGCGCACGCGACAAAAAACAATTGTGTGGCCCGGGAATAGAAATCGCTCAAAAGAGAAATCCCCTGTGGCTTTTGGCTCGTCCGGCTGGCACAGGCGCAGCACCTCGGCAACCTGTTGTAGATTTCATGTCCGGCGCAGCGCAACAGCAAAAGAGAAAGCAAACGCGAAGGCAAAACGAGAAATGGAACTAGCAAGAGGAAGAGAAAGAGAAAGAAGCAAAAGAAGGAAGGACGAAAGAGAACAGAAAGCAAAGGCAAATAAAGAAGAAAAACAGAAAGACGGC